ATCACTCATAATGGATGCATCAGGAAAAGGCCTCTGAATACAAAAGTGGGAGACCTTAGCCCCAAGGAATAAACAGGAGTGTTTTGAAGAGAAGGAAGAATGAGCAGCTGCCAAAGGGGTATTTGCTGGATGGAGTTGAATGGAGCTGCAATTCCTTCACAGCAGGTGAAGCAGCTCAACCAAGGGCTTTGAAAGCAACATGGTACATATATATACAATAGAATATTACTCAGCCATCAAAAAAATGGAATCTTACCATTTGCAATGACATGGATGGAACTAGAGGGTATTATGCTAATCGACATAAATCAGAGAAAGACAATTGTATGTTTTCACTCATAATTTAAGAAACAAACCAAAAGGATCATGGGGAAGGGAGAGAAAAATAAAATAAGATGAAATCAGAGAGAGAGACAAACTATAAGCGACACTGAACTCCAGGAAACAAACTGAGGGTTGCTGGAGGGGAGGTGGGTGGGGGGGAGGGGTAACTTGGAGATGGACATTAAGGAGGGCACATGATGTAATGAGCACTGGGTGTTATATGCAATTGATGAATCACTGAACTCCACCTCTGAAATTAATAATACACTATATGTTAATTCGTTTAATTTAAATAAAATTTTAAAAAAGAAAGCAACATGAGATCCACAATGAGCTGCTGCATAAATGTTTAAGTGACAGAATAGTGAAAAGTGGGTTTATCTTCAAAGTCATAAATCTGAGTCCATAATCTGAAGTAAGGATCATTTTTTGCCTTTGAATTTAAAAGCTTTTATAACCATGTGAATAAATATTCTGGAAGTTTAGAAAACCTAATTTGGTTATGGGAATTTATATGGTCTACCTGAGTTTACTTCACTTTAATGAAAATAAGCTGTGTAATCTGTAAACATATTGCACCTTCTCTAGATTCTCTTCTTTGAACCCTACTGCCTTAACCTCTAGTATTAACTCTCTTTGGGCCCTGTTCAGAGCCTCAGCTTCATCAGAGTAATATTGACTTTATGAGGTCCCTTGGAGAATTAAGAGATAGATTACAGAAAGCAAGTATATGACAAAGTACACAGTGCAGAAATCAAAAGCATCTTCATGCAAACAGATTGCAAATGTTTTTTAACTAGTCACTGTGGTATGACATTTTGAGCAATATGAAATAAGTCAACAAAGCTCTCCAGTGAAACATCTTGATATTATATAAAGCTACATGCTTATTAGAAAGCCAATCCCTTGGTTAATACAAACAAGAGCAATTATCTTTGATGATATGTTGATGAATGTAAAACTTTAACAAGACACATACATTTTCCAAATTTGAAATTAAACAAAAGAGAAAAATAAAGAAATTGAAAATGAATGAATCTTAGATGATAGTATATGTTATTATAGGAAATACATACATGTATATATATGTACAAAGAAATTAGAGACCTACTAATATCACCTTTGAAAAAGAATGTACAATTAAAATAGGTCAAATGATGTCACCCAAAATGCCAGTGTTAGTAACTCCAATGCACCATCCCTTCACTAAGGCAATGATGAAGCTGTCAACTACTGGAATGAACTTTTTCAGAATTCTAGAATCTAATAAAAAACACAAAACCTGGGGAAGTGCTTAAAAGAAAAAAGAAGGTACTGAATTTCAGTAAAACAGCCTTTAAGATATTTTAACTTACCCACCTACCATGCCACACTCCCCAGCTCTGTGGCCACCATGAGGACAGTGGTCCACATTCCTGGGACAGTGTGCTCATGCCAGCAAGACTGACTGTTCTCAGAGAATTGTGGTTGTGTGTTCTGACCTCTTTGGGGACTCCAAGAGGGGCAGACTCAGGGGCTTTCTTTTGTTTCGACTGCCTCAGAACTTTAAGGAGCTCCTATGTGACACTGTCAAGAGCATTTCAATGAAATATACTAGGGTCACCTGTCTGGGAAGGGACCAGACAGAGGGGCCAGAGGGAGGCAGACCGAAAAACCTTGGAAGGAAGATGCTGGGACATAATTGAGGGACGAAGGGCACTGAAAATCTGCTGTGCACTGGGCAGTCTAAAGGCCATGCTGATGCCCACAGCTGGACCAGTGATTAGAAAACACCTAAGAGCACCATGTGAGTTGGCCTTCAGCACTGGCACAAGGGCAAGTGAAGGGATGATGGAGTTAATTCCCTGCCTAAGCTCTGGAGCAGAGCACCAGCACAGGGGCAGTCTGCAGTGACTGGCAGAGCACCTCGTCATGGTCTGGCACCAGGCATTGCAGGAGTTCTCTCTCAAATCACAAGGGGCCCACTAAGCTAACAGAGCAGACTTCAGGGGCACTCATGACAAAGACCCTTTACAAAAAGTTGAGAAAATCATTAAAGTAACACAATCCATATGAGTTGCAAACAAACAAACAAAACCCTGGAAAGGCAGAAGATTGTTGTTTGCAAAATTACCACATTGTGATCCTCACAATGTCCAGTATTCAACAACAAAAATAGAGTTATGCAAAGAAACAAAGTACAGTTCATTCAGGTGGGGTGGGGGGTGGGTAAGGAAACTGAAGATACTGTCCCTAGGGAAATGGCTTTAAAAGAACTATTTCAATGATGCTTGAATATTGGAACCAGGAGGGGAGCCTGGGTGGCTCATTTGGTTAAGCGTTCAACTCTAGATTTCTGCTCGGGTCATGATCTCAGGGTCGTGTGATCAAGCCCCATGTCAGGCTCAGTGCTGGACATGGAGCCTGCTTAAGATTCTCTCCCTCTCCTAGTAAAAAAAGTGAAACCAGGAAGGATGTGCTTTTACCAAATCAAGAGTTTCAATACATAGAGATAAATTATAAAATGGAGTTAAATAAAAAATCTAGAGTTGAAAATTACAGTAGCTGAAACAAAAATATATATATATAAAAAGGGTTCCAGCACTGGACTTGATCAAGAGAAAAACTAATCCATGAACATGAAGACAAATCATTTGAAATGATCAGTCATGGTTTATGGATGAGCCAAAGACGGTCTCGGCATATCAGATGTGTGTTTATTTCTTCACAGCAAACAGAGCCCTTTAGCTCAAAAACCCACTGTTGCCAAACTCAAATTTTTACACACTGGATTGTTTTAAACATAGCCCAAATTAGTAGATTTTATAGCTTAGCCATATCTTCTGTGCATGCCCTGTGAATCACCACCTAACATCTACTAGCAGTAAATAAGATAGACCATGAGTATCAGTGTCTCTAAGCCCCTGTCATCCATTCATAATTCTCTGGCTCAGAGACTATATCTTGCTATTGAGAGACATCATCTCCACAAGTAAGCCCCTTCTCCAGCCCCTTCTCCTCTGGGAACTTTCTTTGTCATCCTAACTTTCTGTGTGGTGGACCTGTACTGTTACCACTGAAAGATATCATCCTATGAGGGACCACCCCATTCAGCCAAGCAGTCAGTGTGCCACCCAAATAAATCTTGTTGCATGATCATAAAACTGTATGTTATCAGCCCTGTACTGAAGTCCCTTGATCTCAGTACAACTACCCAACACACATCCATAAGTCAGTGGAGATAATACCCACTGGGACATGAGCTCCTCTCAGAAGGGGATGTGTGCGTGAATCTTAGGAGTCCCGGCATTAGCACAGGCCCCACCCACAGGAGTCACCAGGAGCCATCCCTTCCATCCTGGTGACACTTTAGAACAGAGCGTGTGATTCCTGGCTAAGCCACCAGCTGGGTCTCTAATAAGGTGGTTGCCCAGAATTACAATTCAATACAACTAGAGCTTGGGGGTAGAACACGTATTGCCTTAGGCAGACAATAGAGTTGGTTGCTCATCATCCTCACACATGACTTGATAACATGTTTCTACCCTAACTGTACCATAGAATCACTGGTGGAGATTTTTTAAAAATGATGTGTCAGGTACCCTGCACCAATTATATATATTTAAAAAAACAGCTTGTGTGGTGGCTAATAGGTTTGGGGATTTTATCCGAGCCCTATTTTCTGGTTTGTGGGGTGGAGTGGCAAACAGCTATGGTGCTTTCTAAGGTGACTGGAGGATGCATAAATCCAGAATTGTCTTAATAAGATATAGACTCTGGTCACAGAATTAACTCTTGCTCCTACTTAGATCAATTCAGGTGTTTGGGGACAAAATCCAAGGAACTTTCTGGGGGCTGAGAGGGCAGAGCTGCCTCTCTCTCTGGCACCAAGTTCTTTCAGTAGCAGAGACATAAGCTGAAGGGCCACCAAAAATTTTAGCCTAGATGTCTTTAATAGTGCCTCCATGACCTTGCCTGACCAACATCATGAGCCTCTGAGAAACCTGGCAAATGGGGCTGAAGATCACAGTTGTGCCACCACCAGGGCATGAAGGGAGACAGTGTTGGTGGGAAGTTGGAATGAGTGGAGCTGAGCTGTGTGGAAGGGACTTGGAAAAAAGGGAGACTCACAGAGTCTTGCTGAGTGTCTAACCCACATGCCGAGCAGTACAGAACTGAATCTACATAGAGAAAACTAGAACACCAACATTTAGCTTCTTTAGCAACAGGTTTTATTGTTTAAATATTTGCAAATGTTGATCTATAGTAAAAGTTTAACTTCTTAAAAAATTTTACATTTAATATTGCCAGATCATTTTGTACTCATATTTTATGCCACATTTTTTCATAAAGAACCAGGGTTATCCTCTGCACAAGTGCTATAGTGTCTTTAAAGTTGAGAGCTGTTGCTGAAAACATCCATATTGTTATATTTATGATATGAGCTCTACCATGTCATCTGAGGTCAGACCATAACTGAAGGCTTTGCCACACAGACGGCATATGTATGAATTCACTTCCATACACAAATGTATATCTTGCCTGAGGAGTATGAGAACTGAAGGGTCTTCCATGTTGATTACAGTCTGTTTCTTCAATATGTGCATCCTTTGGTGACTTCAAATGTTAAAGCTCTGACTGATATTTCTTCCACATTCATTGCATCTGTAATACCGTGTCATCTCAGGTCAGAATACTTACAGAAGACCCTCATGATTTTCTCTCCAGTGTTGGATTCCCTCATGTGGTCTAAAGGAAGAATACTGACTGAAGAATTTCCCACACAGATGACATTCATATGGTTGCTCTCTGGTGTGCATTCTTTCATGTCGTCTAAGATTGAAATATTGACTGAAGGCTTTCCCACACTGGTGACATGCATATGGTTTCTCTCCTGTGTGTGTTCTGTTATGTCGTCTAAGTTCAGCACATCAACTAAAGCTTTCCCACATAGGAGACACACATGTGCCTCTCTCTAGTGTGAGTTCTCTTGTGTTGGCTAAGGCCAGAGCTGACTAAAAGTTTTCTTACATTGATTACATTCATAACAGTTCTCTCCAGAATGAATTCTCTCATGTTTTCTAAGGTAGGAACTGTGAATGAAAGCCTTCTTACATAGATGGCATTCATATAGTTTCTTTTTTATGTGAATTTTCTCATGTAGTCTAAGGTAAGAATTCTGACTGAAGACTTTCCCACACAGATGGCATTTATATGGTTTCTCTCCATTGTGTGTTTGATTGTGGTTTCTAAGGGCAGAGCTTTGCAGAAAGCCTTTCCCACAAAGATGGCATTCAAATGGCTTCTTTCCAGTGTGAGTCATCTTGTGTCTTCTAAGACTAAAGGAATTACTCAAGTCTTTTCCGCATAGAAGACATTTATGTAATTTACCTCTAGTGTGAATTTGGTTATACTGAGTAAGGGATGATTGTTCACTAAGTGATTTTCTACACTGTCTGCTGAAATAATGTTTCTTCCTGAGGTGAATTAACAAAAATCGAGTCAATGCAGGCATATGAGTAAACTCATCACCCAAGTCAGTACTTTCAATAGGATCTTCTGGAGCACGAGATTTATGCTTTGGGGAAGAAGATGAAAGGTTGTTAATGGTTTGCCCAAACACTTCCATACATTTATTTCTCTACATATAAATTCTAGAGTAGTAGTTAGTAATATTCTCCAGTTGCATACACATCTTGTTACTCCCTGCAGGCATCAGTATTTTCTCTTTTGTAGTATTCCAACCTCAGAGTTATCAGATTAATTCTGAAGACTTCATTATGTTTCAAAGACGAAGTAATGGTGGGGAAAAGATGGCGGAGGAATAGGGGATTCTATTCCAACTGGTCCCTGGAATTGAGCTGGATATCTACCAGACCACTCTGAACACCCAGGAAATCAGCCTGAGATGTAAGAAGATAGAGCTGGATCTCTACAAACAGAATATTGCAGGTGGTTGGTTTGGAGGTATGAAGCAGGGAGCCATGATTCCATGGGCAGATATTGGAGGATAAACGGAAGGAGGAGGGAGCCAGCCGCGGGGATCCTACACCACTGGTGAGTGATAGCCTCCCACACTGGGGACAGGGCACAGACTTCCTGACACGTAGAACAGGGAAAGGACTTTAGGGCAGCCCCCCTAGATGGAAACCCGGAGTGGCGGGGCCACACATGTGAACTGGGGGCAGCTGGCAGGTTTAGAAGCACAAAGGGCAGAGATGAGCCCTGGCCTGGAGGCGAGGACTGGGAGCACTGCTGAAGGGCATACAACCCAGGACACTGCAGTTTATAGCAGCATGGACAGAAACAGAGACAGTGTGGCCTGGAGAGCTCACTGAAGAACAGACTGAGATCTCTCTGCTCTGAGGCAGAGGGTTGGAATGGTCTCTTCTGCTCTGACTCTCGGAAGAGACAGGGAAAGCCACCAGGGAAAGCCGCCAGAGAACAAAAGCCCCCCAAAACCGGTTTTCCCTGAGCCCATCCCCCACCACAGGGGGCAGGGCAATTCTGCACAAACAGGGTTGCCTGAGTAACTGCAGCAGGCCCCTCCCCCAGAGGACAGGCTGGGAAAACAAGAGACCAGCAACCATCAGGTCCCTAGAAAACAGGTGCATCTTGCTTGGGTTGTGGTCAATAATTGGGAATCTATATATTCCCTCAACCATCCCTCAACAAAATGACTAGGAGGAGGAACCCCCCAAATAGGAAAGACTCAGAGACTATGACTTATGCCACAAATTTACAAATGGATTCAGATATAACCAAGATGTCAGAGATGGAATTCAGGCTAGTAATTGTGAAGAAAATAGCTAGAATGAAGAAATCAATTAATGGCAACATAGAGTCTCTAAGGGCAGAAATGAAAGCTGAATTGGCAGAATTTAAAAATGCTATCACTGAGATCCAATCTAATCTAGATAATCTAACAGCCAGGGTAAGCGAGGCAGAGGAATGAATTAGTGACCTAGAAGACCAATTAATAGATAAAAAGGGTAAAGAGGAAGCCAGGGAAAAACAACTCAGAATCCATGAAAATAGAATCAGAGAAATAAGTGACACCATGAAACGTTCCAATGTCAGAATCATTGGAATCCCTGAGGGGGTGGAGAGAGAGGACTAGAAGATACACTTGAGCAAATTATAGCTGAGAACTTCCTAATCTGAGGAATGAAACAAACATTCGTGTCCTAGAAGCAGAGAGGACCCTTCCCAAGATCAAGGAAAACAGGCCAACACCCCGGCATGTAATAGTAAAACTCACAAATCTTAGAACCAAGGAAACCATCTTAATGGCAGTTTGGGGGAAGAGATTCCTTACATACAGAGGGAGGAACATCAGAATAACATCAGACTTATCCACAGAGACCTGGCAAGCCAGAAAGGGCTGGCAAGATATATTCAGGGTACTAAACGAAAAGAACATGCAGCCAAGAATACTTTATCTGGCAAGGCGGTCATTTAGAATGGATGGAGAGATGCAGAGCTTCCAAGACCAGCAGAAACTGAAAGAGTATGTCACTACTAAGCCAGCCCTGAAAGAAATATTAACGGGGGTTCTATAAAAGGAGAAAGACCCCAAGAGTGATATACAACAGAAATGTACAGGGACAATCTATAAAACAAGGTCTTCACAGGCAACATGATGACAATTAATTCATATCTTTCAATAATCACTCTCAACGTGAATGGCCTAAATGCTCCCATAAAAGGGCACAGGGTTCCAGATTGGATAAAAAAACAGAACCCAACCATATGCTGCCTGCAAGAGACTCATCTTGAACCAAAAGATACATCCAGACTGAAAGTGAAGGGATGGAGATCCATCTTCCATGCCAACAGACCTCAAAAGAAAGCTGGGGTAGCAATTCTTATATCAGACAACTTAGATTTTAAACTAAAGACTGTAGTTAGAGAAACAGAGGACACTATATCATTCTTAAAGGGACTATCCAACAAGAAGATCTAACCATTGTAAATATCTACACCCCCAACATGGGAGCAGCCATCTACATAAGCCAACTGTCAACCAAAATAAAGAGTCATATTGATAACAATACGTTAATTGTAGGAGACCTCAATACTACATTCTCAGCAATAGACAGATCATCTAAGCAGAAAATCAACAAAGAAACAAGAGCTTTGAATGACACACTGGACCCAATGGACCGCATAGATATATACAGAACATTCCACCCTAAAACAACAGAATACTCATTCTTCTCGAATGCACATGGAACTTTCTCCAGAATAGACCACACACTGGGTCACAAATCAGGTCTCAACCGATACCAAAAGACTGAGATTATTCCCTGCATATTCTCAGACCATAATGCTTTAAAACTGGAACTCAATCGCAAGAAAAAATTTGGAAGAAATTCAAATACTTGGAAGCTAAAGACCACTCTGCTCAAGAATGTTTGGGTCAACAAGGAAATCAAAGAAGAACTTAAACAATTCATGGAAACCAATGAGAATGAAAAAACATTGGTCCAAAACCTATGGGATACTGCAAAGACAGTCCTAAGGGGGAAATACATAGCCATCCAAACCTCACCAAAAAAAAAAATAGAAAAATCCTGAATTCACCAACTAACTCTACACCTTAAAGCACTAGAGAAAAAGCAACAAACAACGCCTAAGCCATGCATTAGAAGAGAAATAATTAAGATTAGAGCAGAGATTAATGAATTAGAAACCAGAAACACAGTAGATCAGATCAACAAAACTAGAAGCTGGTTCTTTGAAAGAACTAATAAGATTCATAAACTACTGGCCAGACTTATCCAAAAGAAAAGAGAAAGGACCCAAATTAATAAAATTATGAATGAAAGGGGAGAGATCACGACTAACACCAAGGAAATAGAAACAACTATTAGAAATTATCAACAACTATATGCAAATAAGCTGAGCAACCTGGATGAAACTGATGCCTTCCTGGAAACCTATGAACTGCCAAGACTGAAACAGAAAGAAATTGACAAACTGAATAGGCCAACAACCAGTAACGAGATTGAAGCAGGGATCAAAAACCTCCCAAAAAATAAGAGTCCAAGGCCTGATGGATTCCCTGGGGAATTCTACCAAACATTCAAAGAAGAAATAATATCTATTCTCCTGAAGCTGTTTCAAAAAATAGAAATAGAAGGAAAGCTTCCAGACTCATTTTATGAAGCCAGCATTGCCTTAATCCCCAAACCAGGCAAAGATCCCATCAAAAAGGAGAATTTCAGACTGATATCCCTGAAGAATAGGGATTCCAAAATCCTCAACCAAATCCTAGCTAATAGGATCCAACAATACATTAAAAAGATCATCCACCATGACCAGGTGGGATTTATCCCCAGGATGCAAAGGTGGTTCAAAATTCACAAATCAATCAATGTGACAAAACACATTAGTAGGAAGAGAGAGAAGAACCATATGATCTTCTCAATTGATGCAGAAAATGCATTTGACAAAATACAGCATCCTTTCCTGATTAAAACTCTTCCGAGTACAGGGATAGAGGGAACATTCCTCAAGTTCATAAAATCCATCTATGAAAAACCCACAGCGAATATCATCCTCAGTGGGGAAAAGCTGAGAGGCTTTCCCTTAAGATCAGGAACATATCAACGATGCCCACTCTCACCACTGTTGTTCAACATAGTACTAGAAATCCTAGCAACAGTAATCAGACAGCAAAAAGAAATAAAAGGTATTCAAATTGGCAAAGAAGTCAAACTCTCTCTTCTCACAGATGACCTGATACTTTATGTGGAAAACCTAAAAGATCCATCCCCAAATTACTAGAACTCATAGGTGATTTGGTAATGTGGCAGGATACAAAATCAATGCACAGAAATCAGTTGCTTTCTTATACACTAACAATGCAACTGTAGAAAGAGAAATTAGAGAAACGATTCCATTTACAATAGCACCAAAAACCATAAGATACCTCGGAATAAACCTAACCAAAGTGGTAAAGGATCTATACTCTAGGAACTACAGAACACTCATGAAAAAAATTGAAGAAGACACAAAAAGATGGAAAAACATTCCATGCTCATGGATCGGAAGAATTAAAGTTGTTAAAATGTCTATGCTACCCAGAGCATTCTATACCTTCAATGCCATCCCAATCAAAATTCCAATGATATTTTTCAAAGTGCTGGAACAAACAATCCTAAAATTTGTATGGAATCAGAAAAGACCCCCGAATCGCCAAGGAAATGTTGAAAAAGAAAAACAAAACTGGGGGCATCACGTTGCCCGATTTCAAGCTATATTACAAAGCAGTGATCACCAAGACAGCATGGTACTGGCACAAAAACAGACATATAGACCAATGGAACAGAATAGAGAGCCCAGATATGGACCCTCAACTCTATGGTCAAATAATCTTTGACAAAGCAGGAAAAAATATGCAATGGAAAAAAGACAGTCTCTTCAATAAATGGTACTGGGAAAATAGGACAGCCACATGCAGAAGAATGAAACTCGACCATTCTCTAACACCATACACAAAGATAAACTCAAAATGGATGAAAGACCTCAATGTGAGACAGGAATCCATCAAAATCCTAGAGGAAAACATAAGCAGTAACCTCTTTGACATTGACCACCACGACTTCTTTCAAGATACATCTCCAAAGGCTAGTGAAACAAAGTAAAAATGAACTTTTGGGACTTCATCAAGATAAAAAGCCTCTGCACAGCAAAGGAAGCAGTCAACAAAACAAAGATGCAACCCATAGGATGGGAGAAAGATATTTGCCATTGACACCACAGATAAAGGGTTGGTATCCAAGATTTATAAAGAACTTCTCAAACTCAGCACCCAAAAAACAAACAATTCGTCAAAAAATGGGCAGAAGAGATGAACAGACACTTCTCCAAAGAAGACATACAAATGGCTAACAGACACATGAAAAAATGTTCATCATCATTAGCTATTAGGAAAATTCAAATTAAAACCACACTAAGATACCACCTTATACCAGTTAGAATGGCAAAAATTGACAGGGCATGAAACAACAAATGTTGGAGAGGTTGTAGAGAAAGGGAACCCTCTCACACTGTGGTGGGAATGCAAGTTGGTACAGCCACTTTGGAAAACAGTATGGAGGTGCCTCAGAAAATTAAAAATAGAGCTACCCTATGACCCAGCAATTACACTCCTGGGTATTTACCCCAAAGACACAGATTTAGTGAAAAGAAGGGCCATATGCATCCCAATGTTCATAGCAGCAATGTCTGCAATAGCCAAACTGTGGAAAGAGCCGAGATGCCCTTCAACAGATGAATGGATAAAGAAGATGTGGTCCATATATACAATGGAATATTACTCAGCCATCAGAAAGGATGAATACCCAACTTTTACAACAACATGGATGGGACTGGAGGAGATTCTGCTAAGTGAAATAAGTCAAGCAGAGAAAGTCAATTATCATATGATTTCACTTATTTGTGGAACATAAGGAACAGCATGGAGGACATTAGGAGAAGGAAGGTAAAATGAAGGGGGGGAAATCAGAGGGAGAGACGAACCATGACAGACTGTGGACTCCGGGAAACAAACTGAGGGTTCTAGAGGGGAGGGGGGGGGCGGATGGGTTAGCCCGGTGATGGGTATTAAGGAGGGCATGTACTGCATGGAGCACTGGGTGTTATACGAAAACAATGAATCGTGGATCACCACATCAAAAACTAATGATGTATTGTATGGTGACTAATATAATAAAATAAAATTAAAAAAAAAACAAAAACTAGGTAATAAGCCATGTTTATGCAATTGACTCCCCCCCCCTTTTTATTTTTAGATCTCAGGTTATTGATTTGAGCTCATGTTAATTTCTTCAGTGATTTAAAACTATCCAAAACTTTTTGCGTGTAAAGAACTGAACTGAGGGCGCCTGGGTGGCTCAGATGGTTAAGCGTCTGCCTTCGGCTCGGGTCATGATCCCAGGGTCCTGGGATCGAGTCCCACATCGGGCTCCCTGCTCCTTGGGAGCCTGCTTCTCCCTCTGCCTCACTCTCTCTCTCTGTCTCTCATGAATAAATAAATAAAATCTTTAAAAAAAAAAAAGAACTGAACTGAATCCTAACAATTACATTCAGGCAATTGTGCTCAATTATCAATTTACCTCATTGCATTTAGGTCGTTAGTTTGGATGACTAGGGTCGATACCCATGAAACTTACCATTGGCATAGTCAGGGCTATACCCTTCTTGCTGATATGTTAATTTAATTTCTTGTTTTTTACGGGGACTTTACATGCCTAAAATAACTGAAAAAAATACAAATTGTTAGAATGGCATTAGCGAAGGAAAAACCATGAGAGACTCTTAACTATAGGAAACAAACTGAGGGTTGCTGGGGGAGATGGGGTGGTTGGGTGATGGGCATTAAAGAGGGTATGTGATGTGATGAGAATTGGGTCTTATATGCAATTGATGAATTATTAAACACTACATCTGAAACTAATGATGTATATATGTTGGCTAATTGAATTTAAATTTAAAAAAGAGTAACCCCAGGAGTAGACTGGTATAATTACAGTCAACAAGGCATCATCTGAGTCAGATTTGTTGGCTTTTAGAGTATTCACATGCTAGCTTTTTCCTTTTTGCAAAAGATGATATATACTTTATGGATGGAACTGGAGGGGGTTATGCTAAGTGAAACAAGTCAAGCAGAGAAGGACAATTATCATATAGTTTCACTCATATGTGGAACATAAGGAAGAGCATGGAGGACCACAGGGGAAGGGAGGGAAAACTGAACAGGAAGAAATGGGAGAGGGAGACGAACCATGAGAGACCCTAGACTCCAGGAAACAAACTGAGGGTTACAGAAGGGAGGGGGGTGGGGGGAGGGGGTAGCCAGGTGATAGGTATTAAGGAGGGCACGTGTGCTGACGAGCACTGGGTGTTATACGCAACTAATGAATTGTTGAACACTACATCAAAAACTAATGACATACTATATGCTGCTAACTGAACATAAAAAAAGATAGATACTTTATTTGTTGAAATCAGTATATATGCTCTTATTTAATTTCTAATTACTAATTCAAAATGATGGCTAACAAGCATAGCTACTTAGATTTTAGCTTCCAGAAGGGAAGGTGAATAACATTTTAATATTTAATGGATCAGGCATTATAATGATTTACATTTATTATCTTATCTGACTCTTTCAAAAAACATTGCAAGATGAATTTCATCCCCACTTTACAGGTAAAAAACTGAGATTTAGAAAACTCAAGTCACTTGTTCAATAGATCTATATTTGGGAGTGCTAGGATTGTTTCCTAACCTACATGGTTCAAAACTTAATGATGTGAGGTCCTTCAGCCTTCTTAAGACATGTTTTTAAAATTATTATTTGGGTGGCCTAAAGTCATATTTCAAAATATGATTATAATAGTTAAAATTCAAAGGGCATTAAGACAGCCAATAAAATATTTATGCAAATACATAGTTTTAAATCATAATTATGGGTAGCTTATGAAGCTACCCATGGCTCCATGAAAGGTAAGATAATCTGTTCTACATTTTTTTGGTACAAAAATAATTTTTTAAGATGGTGCCTTTTATTTTAAAGTGTCTATCTTTTGGGGCGCCTGGGTGGCTCAGTTGGTTAAGTGACTGCCTTCGGCTCAGGTCATGATCCTGGAGTCCCAGGATCGAGTCCCACGTCGGGCTCCCTGCTCAGCAGGGAGTCTGCTTCTCCCTCTGACCCTCTTCCCTCTCGTGCTCTCTATCTCTCATTCTCTGTCTCTCAAATAAATAAATAAAATCTTTAAAAAAAAAATAAAGTGTCTATCTTTTTTTTATTGTATGTAAAATGGAAAATCCTACTTTTCAAGGTCAAGAAGATGGAGATGTGGTTAAGTGAGCAAGGCCATCAGCAGAGAGAAGGAGCCTTACTAGATTTTCCAGAGCCTCTATAAGAATTGTTAAATATGCCCAAGGTAACTGAAGTGTTCAAATAAAAATAAAATTGATGAGGGTTAGTATTAAAGGAAATCTTCAAAATGTAACTGTTAATTGCTCATTTTCAACTAATAATTCAAGCTAACTAAAAACTATATTTCAAAATTAGCTTAAAATTTGAGTTATGATAGAATATAATGTATATTACCTTATAACATTTATTATAAATAAATAAAATTTGGAAGACTTAAAAAAAAAAAGGATGGCATTAGGGGAATGAAAATGTAGAAAAGCACCAAGGTCCATATGAGTATGTTTCAGAAATGGGTACTTAGCTGGGAAAGTGTGTCAAATGAGTAAATGCTCTAGATAATAGAAACATTTTAAAGTTCTTTGTCAATTAGAAAAAATTCAGGGTTGAAATATGAAAGATGTAAAGTGGTGGAAAGATGTTGGGTCAGCAAATAGTTGGAAAATATTTAAATGGGAGGGTCAGAACAAGAATCACTATGTCAACATTTAACTGCAATAAGTACACAAATAGCTTTTTCCCCAAAGGAAGGGAAAGTGGCAGGAGGACACATGAGTTGTGATGGATTTATGCAAGGAATGATAACAACATGAGGAATTTTGCCCTAATGTCCTCACTTACATTTTGTTGGAGAGGTTGTGGAGAAAGGGGAACCCTCCTACACTGTTGGTGGGAATGCAAGTTGGTGCAACCACTCTGGAAAACAGTATGGAGGTTCCTCAAACAGTTGAAAATAGAGCTACCATATGACCCAGCAATTGCACTCCTGGGTATTTACCCCAAAGACACAGACGTAGTGAGAAGAAGGGCCATATGCACCCCGATGTTCATAGCAGCAATGTCCACAATAGCCAAACTGTGGAAAGAGACGAGATGCCCTTCAACAGACGAATGGATAAAGAAGATGTGGTCCATATATACAATGGACTATCACTCAGCCATCAGAAAGGATGAATACCCAACTTTTACATCAACATGGATGGGACTGGAGGAGATGATGCTCAGTGAAATAAGTCAAGCAGAGAATGTCAATTATCATATGGTTTCACTTATTTGTGGAACATAAGGAACAGCCTGGAGGACATTAGGAGAAGGAAGGGAAGAATGAAGGGGGGAATCAGAAGGGGAGACGAACCATGAGAGACGATGGACTCTGAGAAACAAACTGAGGGTTCTAGAGGGGAGGGGGTGAGGGGATGGGTTAGCCTGGTGATGGGTATTAAAGAGGGCACATTCTGCGTGGAGCACTGGGTGTTATGCACAAACAACGAATCATGGAACACTACATCAAAAACTAATGATGTACTGTATGGTGACTAACATAATAAAAAAAAAAAAAGAAAATATCACTCACTTGACAAAATCTTCAGTTGATATTTCTAAGGTTATACTCACTCAGACTAGGCACCTGCTCATACTAAAGCACAGGTCTCTGTTACTTACCTGGACTCTGGCCTTGAAGAAATCCTCTTCCTTCACTCCACAGCTCTTCTCTTGCTCCAACTGGAAGGATCTTTTGCAAATCTTACTCCGTTTGTAGAGGAAAAAGAGTATATGGACTTGAGTTCTGTGCAGATTAACCTTTGCTATCACCAAGTCCAGGGTGGGCTTTACCAAGGATGAATAAAAAGATGATTTGAAGGTCAGCCCACGTAGCAGCACCTTCAACAGAGAACAAATTGAAGTTCCTTCAGCAGACCAGGAGGAAATCCAGGCTGGAGGCCAAAATGGTGAGGACTGCTAGATGCCGATGCTCATGCACAAGTTCAGAGAAAGAATGCAGAATCATCAGTCTTTTCAAAATGGGAAAGACTAAATGTCTCCATGGCGGGTTAAAAGTTATTTTCAAACAGCATCCGATAAACATAAGAGCCACAAGAATAATAAAAATTATGTTATTTTCACAACTCTAGTCTCAAGCCTCCACATAGTGAGGAAGACAGAATCATTACTTCTAAGGTATTTAATCAATTTATTTAGGAATTAAAATAACCATTGAGTTTCCAATTCTGTTCTGAATGCTGGAGACTGAGTAGCAAGAAAGGTATGAAACTGTGGTCAAGTTTACATTCTAGTGTGTTGACCAAAAGTATAATGTGAGGCAAATCCTCACATACATATATGAGGTATACCTCATATACCTCACACTACTCCTCTTGAGTGGTTATAAGGGTTGTAAAAGAATCAGGACAGCGATTGGAGTGGGATATGGGGGAGCTGTTCTATACATTCAATGAGTGAATGAATGGAAACAAACCTGTTGGCAGACTTACCCAGAAAGACCAGACGACTGATATTCTCCAGCATCATGTCTCTGAACAGCTTTCGCTGGGATATGTCCAGCAGGGCCCACTCTTCTTCGGTGAAGTCTATAGCTACATCTTCAAACGTCACTGATTCCTAAAACATCATGGAGATTCCGTTTAGACAGAGCATCCAGAGGTAGGAGGGTTGAGATGAAAGCACTGAGGATGGAGGCAGAAGAGCCGGGTGTATAGAAAGATCAATATACGTTTGGGGCTTCCTGTCAGGTCATTGTTAATGCTGAACTAGTATCTGCCTTTGGATACATAAACAGAGATCTACACACTCTGACTTCATAATACTTTATTATAAAGCAATATCACATGAAGTGTGGCATAATACAACCTGGACATGTTTCAGTAACCTGGTGATTAGAACTTCCAGACAGGTGATTATAAAATATTTGCTTGAAAATCCATAACTAAAACTCTCTTCCCCATTAATTCCAAGTAACTCTACAGATCCATCATGAGACAAATAATAACCATGGGGTACTGTCTTTAAACCATAATCATTGGTTTAAATTATTCTCTAGGTGAACTTCTGGTTCCTCATCTATGAACTGGTTTAATAATATGTTGTGATGTTAAAAGATCCAAGGCCTTGATCTAGGGAGTGTTTCCTGTCTAGCAAACCTGCATTAAATATAAGACATTATCATTAAAATATCAGAAAACCTTGAAAGAATTGCCAGCATCGCTCAGAACTGAAAAAAATTCATAGATGTCTCTTTTAATGCTACATGACTCGGGTGTTCGTAACAAACGATAAGGTCAGATGGCTCAGCAGCACAAGCCAGGGACCTCTGAGATGGCTGTACTGAAGGACAGTCCTAGCCTGACCATTCCTGTGTTATGAGGACTCTCATTCTCAATATTCTGTGGGATCTCAGGCACCAGTTATCACTGTTTCTCTTGTATCTTTATTTTGTCTCCATGCGAAAGGATAAAGGAGACTTCATGACTGGTTTGAGCCTATCCAGTTTTTCAAAAATTTACGTGGGAACCTAATTTTATTCTTCCTACCATACTCTTTTTCCTTTATGTGTAGTGCAATTAAGAAAATACCACTCCATACACATTGCTTCCAGTTATCAAATACGAACCAAAGGTTAATTACTAAGAGGTAATACATGTGACTGGGGACAAGCATGATAGTGATAATTTCAGTTATATTTTTTAGGAATTTTCAAAAGTGCAAATTCTAATAATTATATGGGGTTTAAAATTGAGAAAAACATAAAATGATTCCTCCTTCCTTCTAAACCTCTCTCCCGTTCCTCTCAACACTGAGCAAGGCTCACACCAGGTCTTGTAACACTGGATTAATTATACTCACATGCTGAAACATCTACTTCCCTACTGGACTATAATATTTCCCTCACTCATCTCTAGCACTTGCAATCACCACCATCCTAAACCCATTGCATCCAAAAAATATGGTTAATGAGTTGAATTATTTGCCAATGAGGTCATAGGCTGGATGAGGGAAAGAAAACTTCTCTTATCTCTTCTGTAAATACACAAGCTTAATGGAAGCTATCATAAATTTGCATGTTAGGAAAGAGATTAATTATCAATGAGTTCCTGACAGATGGTAACTATTCCAGAGTCCAGGGGAACTTAGCACACAGATGCCTGAACCCCACCTGATTGCACTTAGAATATACATGCCAATAGGAAAAACTTGCCCATCTGATGGCACTAGGGTGTTACTTCAGCAGAAAGAGGCTTCCCTACTCACTGGTGACTGCACTGTTAGTAACTCAGTTGTCAGGTATCTTTCTCTGGGTTTTTGCTCGAACAGTCCAAGCACTAGGCAGGCAAAGCTGAGGATAGAGAAAGAAGCCATGAGACTCCTGTCCTGTGCATAATTTCCAGTCTCACCTGTCATGAGGCCCTGAAACTTCACCTGGGGAACACCCCCAGCCCTACAAACTGAAACAAGTGGTGCACTCTAAGAATAGAGTGCAAGAGGTCACTCCTATCCCAGGGTCAAATTTAAGAAGGTTATAACTGTGGTTGAAAATAAAGAAGGTCAAAATACAGATATCTTACATCGCTTCTCTGCCCTTTGGCTAAGATCAAGTGTAAAATACAGATATCTTACAAATCGGAACCTAATAAGCATTGTGTTTTGTATTTTAATTAGTCTATGGCATCCCAAATTATTTAATTCCCTCCCTGATTCCAAAGCATGGTGATCCCCGACTCATGCCACATATAGGGTTTTGTTTTTACCTGAAGATGAATGCTGTGGAATTTCTCAGATTTCGTTATTCTTGCCTTATTTGCTAGCAATGGTTCTCCAGCATCCATGGCAGTCCTCTGAAGCCTAACTCCCTTCCTGCTCTTGGGTCCCCCAGAGACTTGAATATCAAGCAACTAAGACTCTACTTTATGATGGAGTTAATCAACTCAAGATCTTTTATAAATTAACTTCTCCCCTAACATCAGTAACAATTTAATGTATTTCATGGACAAATAATGGAAATGCATCATGAACAAAGGGATAATTAACTCACCCATTTGTACCTGAGGCCCAGGAGAAAAAGAAAAGTTAAATTTGTACTAAATGTGTCTGTGTACTTACATATTTATATGTATTTGCCAATTTAATCACCACAATGACCAGGCTAATTATAATCTGTTGGCCAATTTAACAAATGACCCAAGCAGAGGTTTCAAAAACTTTAGTAATTGACAAAGTTACACAGCTAGAAAATGGAATAGCTCTTTTTAATTTTAACTGTCTCCTAGGCGCAAATTCCTCTTAGGTAACACAGCACACCTAGGCTTTACCTGGAACAGTACCACAGAACATGAATCATCAGAAGCACCATGTTATTACAATGTCTTTTTCTCCTTTGATTTTTTACAAAAGATCTCCTCATCTCCAGCTTCTCTACCACATGGGAATGACCAGAGTATTGACCCCACTTCCTAAACATCATAATCTCTCTTCATCTTTATTGCCTCCATTTAATCTATATTTTCTCAGTCCAACACACATTTACCAAGACTACCATATTTTCTCGTCTCTTGAGCTATCTATTGCATCTGCTCATCAAGACTCAAGTAACAGCTCCTCTTCTATGACTGCAGCAGAAAGCACATGGTTAAGATGTTGATCCCAGTCTAAGCACATAATCACTGCTCCAGGTGGCCTTCTGTGATACCTAGCATTCTATTATACTCTGCTAATAGTAATTATAATTATTATTATTCCAGTACCAGTGGCTGGGTGGCATAAGCAACAGAAATTTATTTTCTCATTATTCTGGAGGCTAGAAGGCTGAGATTAAGATGTATACAGGGTTGGTTTCTTCTGAGGCCAGTCTTCTTGGCTTGTAGACAGCTATCTTCCCCCGTCTTCACGTGGACTTCCTTCTACATGTGTCTGTGCCCGACTTTCCAGTTATATTGGATTAGGACCCTTCCTTACCTCTTTCTAAATTACCCCTTTAAAGAACCTATCTCCAAATAAATTTATATGCTGATATATTCGGAGTAACAAACTACAATGTATGAATTGGGTGAAGGGAGAGGCACACAATTCAGCCCATAACACAGATGCATTACATAATATGACAAGGCAACTCAGTATATCACTACAATATCTACCTGTCTGCATTCATATCCACTGGTTATTCCTTTTCTCCTATTAAATTAAATTCTTTGCTACCCCTGGCTATGTCCAATGTCTACACAATTGAATTCCTTTCTCTCCTTTTTTGGGGGAACTACATTATTGATTTAAATTAAATGTCTTTTAAGAGAAACCTCCCCATACATTTACAATCAATCCCCTCCTATGTCTCCAGATATGTCCTCTGAAAATGTTTTCTCCCTGCTGTTCCTCACAGTCAAACTGGAAATGCAGTTATCAATTTCAAGCAGTTATAAAAGAGAAGTCCCAGAGTAATGCAAGGATCTGCAAACTGCAGAAATGTATCCAATATCCAGGGCAATTCACCGTTCTCTATACACACCAAATTGAGTGTGTATAGAGACACTCTGTAAACGCACTTTAGTGATTGAATTATCCAGAAAACATGAGAGTATCCAAGGAGGGAGAATGTAGAAACACTAATTAGGAATTGACCTTGGGATTATGTTTGGTTTTGAGTTCAAGGAAAATTCAGAGTGGAATGGAATGTAACTTTTTGCTCTTAGAATGTTTCTTTTATAGAAATAAAGGAATATGTAAATCCCTATTTGATATTCAGGGAACCCTTGTGCATATGCTACTCTTAAGGAGTAGAAAGCAAGAATGTACCTAGGCATACCTGTGCTAGGTCTGTGTTTCCAAGTAGTAGGCATCAAAGGAGGTCACTGAGTGGGTTTTAACTGGTACCTAAAAAGCAGCCCCCGCAGAGCTGAGGTAATGGAAAATACCAACCAGGTCCCACAAACTCTCCATACATCCTGTGTTTAATAGCCATCATTTTGAGACAGGAACATTTTCTGCTATAGCACAACACTGACATGTATTTATCTCCAAAATATTACCTTGAATTGATGTTGTTTAAGGAGGACTAACCTGAATAATAATGACCTGGGAAAAAATGCAGTAGCTATTAAAAAGGCTAAAGTATAAAATAAGTCAGATTGAAAAACTAGTTGGAGATCATTATTCAAGGAATCCTTTGCCTTTGAGCCAAAGAACATCACTTAAGTTATCCAATAATTTTAGGAATGAATTGATTACAATTTACTAAAAGCCTTAATTTAAAAGACTTCAAATCAGAATTATAAGAATGAAAATGGGATTTTAAGACAAATGGAAGAGATTTTAAGACAAGAGAAGAAAGAAAAATGACCACAGAGTTCTAAAGCTTCCAATAGGAAAATGGAACCATGTAAGAGAAGAGACTGCACTGGGAAATTAAGAAGGAAAACAGACACTGCTTAAAAGTCACTCATATCTGTGGCTATCAGGTTTTTAAATGAGCAAAAAAAATTAAGTAAAAGCTTGTGAGGGGATTAGAGAGAAATTGAAAGCTATGGAAAACAAACCCCAAACCCATATTGTTTTTGCTGCTATATGTAACAAAGGAAATGATATGAAATAATTATATTATTTAATTTAATAAAGATATAAAACATATGAAACAGAATTTTTGAGTTCATGAGAATCTATTAAGAGTTTGGAAAAATGTACAAAAAAGAGTTTGTAAAAATGTACAAAAATTAACAAGAGCCCCACTCCCCCCAAAAAATGTCTGTAATTCAAAGATGAAGAATTATTTGAAGATCGTTATACAAACTCAAGCCAAATATGGGATGAATTTCACTCAACAAAATAAGATATTGGAGAATGCCTACTAAGCCTTCAGGGAAACCAGCTGTGATCCTTAATCTCATAACCCAGGAAACCCTTCCTCAAATATCACAACAAGACATGGAAAAGACATGTGTAAGTATAACTTACAGATAAAATAACAATTGAAATGATCACATAGAGATATGTCAGGGACCAAAAGGACACACATTATGAGAAAGAAGTCATAACAGACCTATTTAAACCTAGATTAGAAACTATCTCAGAAAATGGAGATTAAATGCACTTCCAAAACCATAGCAATATAAGCAATCTTTAAAAGAACTAACAAAACCTATTTAATGGCTCTAAATTATTCAGTAATTTATGAAAAAATACATTGGCCAACTTCTTACTAAAGCAGGAACAGTGACTTAAATCTTTGGTGACCTCAGGACAGGTGATTGCACACCATAGGTTCTTCCTCCAGATTTCAAAGAGCTACCTAGAAGGAGGCATTCAGCTTCCTCAACATCACCTTAATATTTTAAGGGTGCTGCTAACCATGAAAGAGTAGAGCTTTTACTTCCAGCCATCCCATGGCTATTTTGACACACTTTGTTACTTTTTGGGTGTTTTAGGAACCTTTGCCCCCCATACCAAATCTGTGTTCCCCAACAGATCTGTCAATAAAAATGACTGATATCTACTCATATTCACTCACTTGCCTTTTCCCCTTCTTCAATTCAGAACTACAGTCTGGAAAGTGATGTTATTAGGTGAGCTCTCTTGAATTTCAACACTATGATGGGTTAGGCACTATTCTAGGTGCTAAGGATGTAGCAGTCGACATAACTGAAATGGTTTGCCTTCTTGCCTCTTACATCTTAGCAGTGCACAGACAGGAAAGTAAAGACAAATCACAAGGTACAAGAAAGTAGCTTTAAATATGAAGAAGGGATTAAACCAAAACAAATGTACATCAAATTCATACTGAAAATGGAGAAATGTATCCTCTCAGGTTGGATTACAAATCAAAGTTCAACCTTTCATGATTTTCAACATTTAATATATTAAAAGTAATTCAAGAATGGTGAAATTGGATTTAAGATTACAATCGTTCTAGAATTTTGTCTATGAAAGCACCGTATCCTGAAACAGAAGGTTTATTTTCAAGGTGCAAAATGGACCCTGCATACCAATGGTTTGTGTACCAGGATGGGTAAAATCTCAAATTTTTTTAAAAAAGGAATAGGCAACAGCCCTATAAACAAGGAAATAATACCAGAACGTGACCGCTATAGAAGACACAATCTGTCAACTGAAAAATAAGGAGAAAAAATCTCCTGTCAAAGTTGACACTAAATTTTTTAAGTACATTATGAAAAATAACATTTGAGTGCAGTAACATGTAAATACAAATGCAGCAAAGCTAAAACAATATTCACAGGAAATTATTTGTTTTAAATATATATTAATTTTTTTTTAGAGACAGCTTGAGAGTGAGAGCAGGAGAAGGGGGAAGGGAGGGGCAGAGAGAGAATCCCAAGCAGGTTCCATGCCCATTGCGGAGCCCATCGTGGGGCTCAATCTCATGACCCTGAGATCATTACTTGAGCCAATATCAAGAGTCAGATCCTTAACCAACTGAGCCACCCAGGCACCGCTATATTAATTTTTAAATGATTAAATTAGTCACATATCTAAAGACATTTATGAAGAAAATCATTTGATGAAACCCATAAAAGGAAATTAGTTCAGAGAAGCAGAAAATGAAGTATTTACAATAAAAAATAATAAAAACATAAAATGTAGATCGCTGTGCCAGTAGAACTTTCCAAGATGAAGGAAATGCTCTATATCTGCATTGTACAATACAGTATCTGCCAGACATACATAGTTACAGAATACTAGAAATTTGCCCAGCTCTGCTGAGATCTGAATTTTAGCTATTTAATTTTTATTAATTTAAATTTTATAGTCACATGTGGCTGGTAGTTATTGGAAAGCAAAAATCTAGAGTCTTAGGGTAGGCAGTTAAAATAATTAAATCGAT